GACGCCAACAAAGCCTACACACACACATGCAGTAACGGAGGCAGTTAGTAGGCAACGTTAGTCGTTTCACATACCCACATATGTATCTACATACGGTACTGCCGAGTACTATTGTAACATATTTTTACAGACATTTGTGCTCCGACATTCATTTGTGTTGTTGCCATACATTTGTAAATAGTCGTTTATTGTGTTCTCCCTTGACGCTGGATAATTGCATGCGCGGTGGGGCATATCGAATGTTGTTGCATGTTTCCGTTAAATGAACGGCAGCAACAACCAAGAGCCCAAAGTGGCATTTAAAACCAAATGCGGAACAACGACAACATTGCTGATGCAAAGAACACAAGGGAGGTGAGACGACGGCAGACGCTGCTGTTTGCAATATGGACAATGAATTCTGAAACAACAACAACAACAAGAGTCAAACGCTGCAGCCAAATGCCAGCAAACAAAATAGTCAAGTAAACAAACAGTCAACCAACTGACTCAGCTCACCTTTATGTCGCAGTAACTGGCGGTGAGTGTTTGCTGCCACTGTACTGCTCTCATCTGCTGCCCTCTTAGCGCCTCTGCCACATCGTAGTTTTGCTTTTTACAGTTCAGAATTGGCGCTATGTGCCGCAACTTTTGGGAAATTATGCGCCTAGTGCACACTACCGACTTATATACATAGATACCCACTAGGAAAAATATTGGTTAACTCCTTGTTCGGTTTTAATGTATTTAGTTTTGTTACTTAATGTGCCAGATTTTATCTATACTGGCCGCTAAAGAGTTTATATGAAATCGTGGCGTATAGAATCAATTGAGCCCTATTCCAACCTTTTCCATTATTTACGATTCCAAAATCCTGAAATCTTCAACTCGCTCTACACCTTTTTCTTAGTCAGTTCATTAAATTTTCATACTCCTGTCTGCTATTAAAGTAACAGTAGAATTACTGTTCCAAATTGCAGCTTCTTTCACTCCGGCAGCGTTGAGTTTACTATGCGCTCAAAGTTAGTCAAGAAGTGTCCAACCTCACTGGATATGTCATTAAGCTACTTCATTTCCAGACTCGTTTGGGTGTCTGTGCATAGCTGAATCGCTGAAAACTGAATAACCGATGAACTAGCAAAAGAGGACACCCTTACCCCGCTAGCATCGGCATAGGAACGAGTTGGATCCCCGTTAGTAGAACGTAGGAGATCTACTTAACTATTTGCCCTTAGCAAAGTTCATCTTGCTGTAATCGTAAGAGTTCTTGCTATTCCATACTCATTCATGCTGTAAGACTAAAAATCCAGTCGGACGCAAACTGTCAAATTTGTATAGAATAATTTGAGTTGGAAACATCCAGGCACTGTTTCCTCCATGCTCCAGGTTTTGAAAGATACATTTCAGCAGTTATATTTTTGGCGAACCTGAAGACTCAGCCGAAGCTGACATTAGCCGCTGCAACAAATTTGTCAAATTTTAAAGCTTAAAGTGCTTCGTCAAATTATGAGGGTTATTAGGATAAAACCTATCCAACTGAGATCCCTTTGATGATCGACACTTTAATCTAAGCTAACTGTATTTTTGGACACAAAAATTATTAAGCAATATTAGATATAATATCAAAAAGTATATTTAAAATTAAAAACTAGTGGCAATACCCTAAAATAATTAAAATTATACTTAAACGATAGTGTTATGGAACTTCGCTAAGAATTTTAGGTTTCACTTTTTAATACGTATTTTTATAAAGGTGGCAACCCTGTTCCAACTTTTACCAAAGTCTATGAAACATTGATACATTTTCAATTTCTTTTGTAAGAATTGGCTTTTTATTTATTTTGAAGACTTTTTTATATGTTAATACAGATAGCAACTCTAACAAAAACATTTTTTATTGAATATTGGTAAAATTACACATATATCAAGGCTGGGTTCAAACTAGTGTTAAACTCATGACTATTGGACTAATTTCGTATTATACTTATTTCTAATGTGTGTTTATATCAATTAAGGTGGCAACTAAATATAATATATTGTTACTGAATATTGTTAAAATTTCGTAAAGATCATAACTGTATTTGAACTAGTTTCAATTGCATGAATATCGGCCTAGTTTCGGGTCAGTGAATTCTTCATTACTGCAAAATTTAGAGCTACTCACATAAACCTGGACTATGTAGAAGAAAGAACAATGTACATACCTTCACACACACACACATACGTACATACATATAGGTGAGTCTCGCTGATTCTCGCAATGGTTTTTCAAATGCTTTATTCCAACTCATTTACTCACAATAGTCAGTGGCGGAGTCGAAGCCGGCATTTGCTTGTACTTTTACGAACAAAATATATGTATATATGTATGTATGTAAGTAAATTGTATTTTTTTGCATGTTCTCACTCGTATTACGTTCGTTATCTCCGTGCTGTGGCTACATAAATTACAATTCCACCATTGCAAATCTTCCGCGGCGTGTTTATGAAATTATAGCTGCTGAGATTGAAATGCTGTGGTGCCCATTAAAATCTGGTTTACTCAGCTGGGAGCGTTGGTCGGCCGGCAAACGTGTGTTCACTAGTCCCGGTGAGTGGGTGGTGACGTTGATGTTGCTTCGGTTTGCTTTTTGTGGTGTGGTGATGCAGCGCTTTGCAATCGGAACGGGAATGAAAAACAAAAACACTTGTCAGGAAATGCTGCACTTTGCATTTGAGATAGGCTTAGAATTAACGGCGATTACGCTGGTTTCTTGCTTTTCTCCATTGTCTTTTCAATTATGGCGGTTTTCTGTGGCAAAGTGGTCATTAGCGCGGCGGAAAGTTTTTTGCCGCGCATGATATGTGTCTTTTTTTCACAAAGTCTTCTTAAAGTCTCTCGGCGGTTTCAGAGAATTTATGCTGTGAAAGCTTAAATTTTAAATTATATGCCCACGGAGTAGCACTCAAATTGTAGATATTTTCTTGTCCTATTTCATGGATATTAAAGCAGCCCTGCATTTAAAAATATAGTAAGAGGTCAGGTCATGTCACATATTTCGAATGAAAGCTGCCGAAATGGGACTGAATTTAAATCGTAGCCTAGAAAGGTTACGAGAGGTAAAACAAAGATGTTCATTAAAAAAGAATTAAAGATCCACGAAGTACAGAAGACTTCCAACAAAACTATACGTCTTTTATGGCGAAATTTCATTAACGACTTACATATTTTCTGTATTGGTTTGTTAGGCAAGCGGATGGCACTTTTGGCAATCTCATCAGCTATTTCATTTCTCGGAATGCCCTTGTCACCCGGAAGCAACCATAATTGCAGATACTTTCCAGCAGCCTTTACTTGCCTCGTGGCTTTGTGGCCAATTATGACTCAAACTAATTTTTGATACACTATACTGATGTGAACTGTGTTCCAGTAAGAGCGTTCTGCATCGACCGGAACAAATGGTAATCCGAAAGGGCAAGGTCTGGGCTATAGTTTATAACCGATCTTGCAACATGATTCTGAGCGTTTTCATGATGGTAATTTATTGCCTCTACCGTCTGGTTACAAATTACGTACATTTTTCGGCAATCGCTCGCTTCAATTTGATTAGTTATTGTCGGTAGCGGTCTATCTCCTAATGATTACACTCGGTTTTAGAAGCTCATAATACAGCAAGCCCTTCTGTTTCCACCAAAACAGAGCATTACTTTTACGTCATGGATTTTCAGATTGGATGTTAATTTGGCTGAGGAACCTGGTTTCACAAATGGTTATTTGCGTGTAGAGTTGTCACAATAGATCCATTTTACATCACAGTCAGTCAAAATCCGATCCAAAAACACTTATGCCAAATCATCTCTCAGCGTTTCTTGGCTTCAATTCATATGGCACCCAATTTCCTTGCTTTTAAACTTATTCGGCTGGTTTTTAAGGTTTTGAAACAGCAGTTTAGTTAATCCAACAGATTCTGCGAGCTCCTCTGTGTTTCGCAAAAATCTTCATCGAATAATGCTTCCAATTCCTTAACTTCAAATCTTTTAAGCCGCCTAGGACTATATTTGTTTTCCAAGCTAAAATTGCCAAACACTTTGACACATTCGCTCAGCTGCTTGAGTAGAAAAGTGGCTAATCGAAAGCGTGTATTATTCTTCAAATGCTATAGCTTCAGCTACAAATTATATGAAAATAGAGTTTCTACTTGCCATATATTTAAGAAACTATGCTTTTATATAATAATATAAAGTTGCGCAAATGCGAAGACTTATTTATATTTTCATTTATAAAGAATTGGAGCTGTGTTTATTTTCCATAGTTTCTATGAGCGAGTGAAATTAAAGCAATTACTCTATTCTCAGGGATCAAATATCAATCATGACAATTAAGTAGTACTAGAAGATGAACTGTGTGTGTGTGTGTGTGTCAAGAAGAACTTCAATGACATTTTTTCGAGCGAATTCACCCTAACCAATGTATACATAGAAGCCATCCATGTTATTATACTATACAGCCTTCAAAAGCAACCCTGCGCCGAGGGAACTCAAGTCAGCGCGTTTATTTATATGAAAAATAAAAAGGAAATAATTGAAATGCTGAAAGTTTATCATTAAACAAAGTTGAATTGTTGAAAATGAAATAAATAAATCTCTGTTGCAACGCGAAGTAATGAAAGAGATGCCACGTAATTAATTTGAGCGTACATACGAGAAATTCGCACATCATCATTTCGGTGTTTATGTTGGCATAAACACTTCATTTACAGATGGCGTATGAAAAATAAAAATATATATGCAGATGTGAGAGTGTATGTATGTGTGCCTGCCTTTTGAAAAATATCGAATTTCCCACAATAAATCACAGCGCAGAAAGGCGCTGTGTTTGCTGCCAGCCTTTCTGCGCTACAGTGTGCACGCCTTTCTCGCTTTCCTACTCTCCGCTCAGCATCAGTTTCGATTACAGCCTACAAAAGCAAAATAAAATGTGAATTCTTTTAGTTTGAAATTTTTTCTTATGCCTTCTCTTCTTCTTTTTGTGTTATTTACAGAGGCACTCCAAACACCACAGCGCGTTGGCGAGCCTTTGGACTACTGCAACGAGACACGACGCGCCTGGCCGCTTGGAAAGCGCACAAAGGCACAAACAAGTGTTTTCATGCGCGCGCGTAGCAAAGAAAGCCAAAGAAATTCGAGTCACAGCCACAAAGTGTTGCGGACCGGGGTGCGCTGTGTAAGTAAATAAAGACGCAGTCAAAATATATCAATTTTTTTCCGACAACTGCAAAAAAAAGTTTATAATAATATGCAAATAAATCGCATGGAGCGCGCCTGCCGACCGCGTAGTCCATGCAAATAGAAGCCAGAATTCTACCAATTCACATTTGGTTATTGCTGAATTTGATACTGTAAGATTGCCAGCGCGTGCGTGAGTGCGCGTGTACTCGTGAAAATCGCCTCACTCTTCAACCGACGTCAAGCGCGCGGCGCGTTAATCACGCGCAAACACATGAAATTCAACTAAAGTAATTTGTACTTGAAAATCGCGCAAGTGAAATCCGTGAAATTGAATTCGTGCCTATCAGCCGAAAGATGCTGGAGCGGCGACGCGCGAAAAGCGTCCGCGAGTGTTGATAATGAAAACAGTTGAACTCACCGCCAACTACAACAGCGGCTGCGGCTGTTAATAAGAAAAATAAATTTCATGAATCGCCTTGTGATTATGACTGGCCGCTGCAACAACAACAAAAACTCAATGTTCTACTAGCGCTTATTACAACGAAGAACAGCACAACAGCACATTAGACGCGGCGGAAATTTAGTAGCAAAGCAATTTTTTCTTGTTTCTTTGGTGTTTTTAGCGGTTTTGCGCTCTCTAATCGATCGCGCGCGCACACAACGAAAAATCGAAAAGCTATAAAAACGAAAACCAAAAACAAGAAAGTAACGAAATCAAAATAAAAGGAAAAAATTGAGAGAATTGAATTGGTAGCGGCGCATAATTGGCTAAAACGGCCGACTCGACCGGAAAATCAAGCAGGCACTGAGGCGTACAGCAGCCCTAGCAGTACCAGCAGCGCTAGTAGCGTTAGCTCCAACACGATGTTGGCCGGCATAAGGAAGCGTCTGGCGCGCAAGTAAGTACCCTATACAATTCTAATGTAAAAAAACGCACACACACATAGACGTACACAGCGGTAGACATAATCAGATTTTATACTTTTGGTGTTCATAATTACATTTGCTGCTCTGGGAAATCCATTAACGGGCCAAGTAAGAACAAAAAAAAATTAAAGGAAATGAATTAGCACTAAGATTATAAACTCAGTTGCATTTATATGGTGGCAAGTGCAGCGCAGTTTAAGTGGTAAAAATTTATATTGCAATTATTTTTTTGCAAAATTATGAAAAAAATAGAACCTATGATTGAGCGACTGAGCAAGGTTAGGTTAAATGATGTGCAGACGTTCAAAAGTTCTTTCGTTTGAGTAAAAACTATTTTAAATTAAATCATAAAAGAATAATTTTTCGTGGGAAATATTTTACTAAGCATTTATATTTGTTTAATGTATTGTGTCTATAACTATACTCATTCTTTTTTTTCAAACTTTTGCCGTTTCTTTAACAAAAATATGTACAAAGTATCACCCATTTAAAGCAAACGTCGGCTTGGCAGCCAAGTCAATTTTGAATACCCTATACTGATGTGAACCGTATTCCAGTGAGGGCGTTCTGCATCGGCCGGAACGAATAATAGTCAGAAAAGGTTAGGTCTGGTCTCTAAGACAGGTGAGGAAAAATTTCCCAGTGGCTGTTTTAAAAATAGTTTTTAACCGGTCTTACAACATGATGCTGAGCGTTCTCATGATGGACAATTATTGCCTCGTGTCCGTAAGGTTCCCCATCAATGATTTCACTAGGGTTTAAAAGCTCGGAATACAGCCGCGCTTTTGATCCCACCAAATAAAAAACATTACCTTGGCATCATGGATATTCGGTTTTTCCTTTGAGTTGGCTGGTTAGTCAGGTTTCACATATGATTTTCTGCATTCACTTGTCTTGTTTGTTGCAACCCTTATTGTTTTGGTTCCATTTTTCATCGCCAGTCACAATCCAATGCCAAAACGACTACTTTTTTTAGCGTTTAAACAGCATATCTGACAAGTCAATTCTTGTGGCATTCAAATTCTTTGCTTTTGAACGAATCCGGCTGCTTTTAAACGTTTTAAAATGGCTGCTTAAGTGACTTCCAAAGATTGCTCCAAAGATGCGAGCTCTTCTTATGCTTGGCAACAATCTTCATCGAGTAAAGCTTTCATTTTCTCAACTTCAAACCTTTTTGGCCGCCTATCTTCGTCTTTCACGCCAGAATCATCACTTTTAAATCGTGCAAACCAATTTTGGCACACTCGCTCAACTAGAGCATGTTTACCATAAACGACAAAATACGATGACTTTCGGCTGAGGTTTGTTTCATATTAAAGTATTAAAGAAGAACCTTACCAAAAGTTTCCTTTAATAAATTTGTTGTTTCTTACCACTTCTTCACCAAAGGTGGTCCACATCAACATTGTGCAATTTAAACACGGATAAGTCAGTAATCATTGCTCTATGCCGTTTCCTATTATCTGTAAAATTATGGCCGGCTTCAATTTTTGAATTGCATGTGACTTTTGAGGATGTAACGTGCCTCATTGAAAACCAAAAGAAGATTCAGATTATCCATCAACCTTTCTATGAATCCTCAACTAAATAACCCAAAACGAATCTACGTAATCGAATATACTTGTACTTACAAGTATATATAACCGTCAAGAATCTGTCGTTTCAGGAGCATTCTCTAATTTTGTTGCTTCTACTTTCGGACTATATTTAATTCTAAACTTTCTATATTATTGATAAAACAGTTTATGTAAGCTCGCTTTATACATAAGTCGGCCTATATGAACTTACAATATAACTGGAATGAAAGTCAAGTTTCCTAGCCATCGCTAGAGATCCTGACGAAGTACTTTTTCCGCCTGCACGATAGTCGAGTTTACGTACATCCGATTTTCTTTCTGTCAAGAACTGGGAACACATCAGTAATTCTCAAATTTATATAAGGAATATTTTCACCCACTCCAATAATTATAACAATGAAGCTGTTCTAATGAAAGAAGTTAGCATTCCATTGAGCTTCTAAATAGTAAATACGAGTATAGTATCGTGCTTTTTTCATATATAAAATTTAGATTTTCAAAAGAAATCCCGAAAGACTTCAAATATCCTTTTAACCGTCCAAAATCTGAAATGTCGAGCAGCTTTACATTAAATTCGTTCAGTCATTTCATTCAAGCAAATCAAAATCAATTAGCATCTATGTACTTCATTTACAAATTTTATCGTTTCACGGTATTTTTGCGGCATGTAATTAAAATTAAAATTAATGTAATTAAGGCATAAATGTAAGCGCAAATATTCGGAAAAAAAGAAATGTATACGGAATATCACTATTGGCTTTGGGAATACAATTATGCGATTGTATGACGCAGGCGTATCTACAAATAATACAATGCAAAAAAAACACACGCATACATATGTAATATAACGATACATATAGAAGGGAGTCGTTAGCACGTGTCCTCACGGCAGTTCTTGTTACGAACGCAGATAGACTTGTAGTTATACAAATGTATGCATATTTTATTTATTTTGGGTACATAACTGTAAACATTGCGTAATAAATGTGTAAAGCTCACACCCATTAAAGTGTATGTGACATGTGAATATAACCGTAGTTAAATAGGTATATGTACACACAGATATCCTTTAGAGCCTGTAGGAATCATATGAAGACTTTCAAAACTATTTCATATTTGAGAACAATTCACTATATTTATATTTTCTTAAAATTTCCAAACATCTGGCAACCTCTTAAAAATATGTTTGACAACATTTTTTTCTAAGGCTACTTTTTCGCTCATATGTCCATTAGGGTGGAGCGAAAAACATTTTTTTTGTGCTTAGCCTGAGGGTAAAATCTTTAGATTAAAAAAAATAAAATTTTTGGAGTCACTTTTAAAGTAAATTTTCGAATTAAAATTTTTATTTCGTAAAAAATGTTTGATAAGTGTTCTAGAACCTGTGGACAGTCCTCATTCTGGTCAAATAAAAGTTATAAACTTAAAAAAAATTTTTTTGTGGTCATTATTGGAGTTTTAAAAAAAGTCTTAAACGACAACATGTTTTCCTTAAGCGTTAAAATAAATTTACTTTAAAACTGAGGCCGCCTCTAGAAATTAAAAAAAAAAAAAATTCGCAATAATATGGCCACATTTCATTAATTTTAATTGAATTAAATATACAAATTTTAAAAGGTGGCAGCCCGATTTTGACAATAATTGGTCATAAGATAGCGCATCTTAAAGCGATTATTTGCGTAAAGTTTTATTTCGACATATTTATTGGTGTTTGATTTGTACCACTGGGTCAGCAACTACTTAAATAGTAATAATTTTTATAACTACTTTCATGGTAATTAGTTTAGTAACTAGTTTAAAAATAAAATTATCTTTTTATATCACAGGATATCTTCACTAAATTTGGCATGTATTATTTTTCAAGGCAACGTTACAATCTTCGAAAAAATTTCCGATCGGTCCACCGTAGCATCTAGCTGCCATACAAACTGACCGATCAAAATCAAGTTCTTGTATGGAAACTTTTTGATTTTTCATGGGTATTATAGCTTCGATGCAGCCGACGCTTATGTGTTTTCTTCTTTTAAACTCATCTAATTTCACCGTCCTACAAGGAACAATTAAAGTACGCGTACTCTAAACATAAAAGTGTTGTTGAGTTCCTGCTTATCACAGTGGTAAAAACCTAACACACATTTCATATTCCTTTATAAACTATTTTAATCGTTATTCATACATATCTAAAGCCAACAAATGTGCGCCAATAATGAAAATGTTTATTAGATTTGCATGACAAAAGGTAATTGAGTGGTTGAGGGGTGAAGAGGCATCATAAAGTGAAGCGAAACAGAGAGTAAGTATATAAATATCTACAAATATAAATCTATATGTGTGTATATATGTAAAATACATAGAATGCCACATGTATGTATTTAATTTTTTTATGTATATATATATTTTCTTCATTTACTCACACTCATTTGCCACTTTTTTAGTAGTTACTTTTCATTACACCAATTTTTATTGTTGTTGTTTTTGTACAAGTATTTCTTTTGGGTAGGTTAGGGTCACAAATTATGAGTTGAGGCAGAAATTTATTGCTTCAGTAAATAAACTTAAACATTTCACCTGGGTCACGTATTCACAAATCTACGTGTAGAGTTGTAATAAAACAGAAACGAAAAGAATAAAAACAAAAAAGTACACGCAACCGGGGCGCACACATGTCATTGGCGTTATCAGTGGCACAAGCGTGTAAATTCCCTGCAGTGAAATGGGCTAGGCGTAAACTATATGCGTCTGTGTATACATATGTATATGCCTTATAACTAATATGTACCACTAGCCCGACATATTAGTCAGCCGAATTCTTACATACTAGCAACTGGTAATTCATACTGGAACCTTTTACGAGTACATGACAAGTCAATTGCCAGATTTTCCATACAAGAGCATGATTTTGATCGTTCAGTTTGTATGGCAGCTATATGGTATAGTAGTTCGATCTGAACAATGTCTTTGGAGATCGTAGTGATGCTTTGGGTAATAATATCTGCCAATATTCTTGAAGATATCTCGTCAAAGTAAAAAGTTTTCTATACAAGCACTTAATTCCGATAGTTCAGTTTGTATGGCAGCTATATGGTATAGTGGTACAATATCGGCGGTTCCGACAAATGAGCAGCTTCTTGGAAAGAAAAGAATGTGTGCAAAATTTCAAATCGATATCTCAAAAACTGAGGAACTAGATCGCATAAGACGAACAGGCAGACGGAAAGACGAACAGACAGACAGACATGGAAAAATCGACTCAGCTCATCAAGCTGATCCTTTGCATAAATATTTTATAGGGTATCCAAAATTTACTTTTGGGAGTTTCAAACATAGTGCCTAACTTAACATACCCTGTTCAGGATATAAAATTAGAGTGTTTTTGCAGATATTTGAGAAAATTG